AATGGGAAATAAACCATTTGAAATTTAATTCAGGTGACAAAAAAAATAGAGGCATGGGTCAGTGCTTTGGCCAATAAAGAAAACTCTCCCCATAATGCTCTGAATTTTATATTTGGAAGCATTCAAAGAATTTCCAAGATTTTGACAACTCCCTGGTCCCAATAGTAAATTTTTTTTTCCACCATAATTTTGTCATCACCAACTCTTTTAAATGATGCTCTTGCCCCCCTCCCTATTTCACCAAGCCCACCTCCCATTCCCAATAAGCATAACCAGGGCAGAGAGAGAGAGAGAGAGAGAGAGAGAGCTGAAATGGCTGCAGACCAAAACCACATATGTGACAATGCAGATGAAGACTACATAGATATGGAAGTGAGCTCAAACTCCAACTTCTTCTACCAATCCATAAGCTCACCTCCACATGCCCGAGAGTTCGAGTTCCAAATGTTTTCAAGCTCTTCTGAGAGAGAAACCACCACTTCACCGGCCGACGAACTCTTCTACAAAGGAAAGCTCCTCCCCCTTCACCTCCCACCGCGTTTACAAATGGTCGAAAAACTACTTCAAAACTCCATCTCTTACAATCACAAAAACACAGATGATGGCTTTGAAGAACATTTTAGCACTCCATTGACAACCACAACCTACACCACACCTACAGCCAATACCCCATTCGAGTCCTGCAATATCTCTCCATCAGAGTCTTGCCAGGTCAGCACAGAACTCAACCCAGATCAGTATTTCTTCCAATACTCAACTGAAGTGAGCGGTTTCATTGGTGACAACCCAAAAAAGTCCTGGACCAGAAAGCTTAAGCTGATCAAACAGTCCACAATTGGTTCAAAGTTAAAGGCTTCCCGGGATTACCTCAAGTCTTTGTTCAGTAAATCTGGCTGCTCTGATGAGTCTTGCGCGGCTGCTCCAAGAAACTTGGATGAAGGATCGGTTTCAAAGACCAAGGAGTACGTGAAGATGGCGAAAAAGACCACCCCATTCGGGCAGATTCACACAGAGAGGTACCAATTGCCAAATACTACTGCCACAAGGAGCTTCAACAAAGAAAAATTTGCTGCAGATACCCGTGCTCGCCACAGAAGATCATTTTCTGGGGCGATCAAACGGTTTTCAACAACTAAGTCTTCTTCTTCGTCGTCTTCTTCATCTGGGTCTTCGTCTTCTTCAAGCTCGAGTAATTCAAATTGGTTCCACGACTCGCACTTTCTCAAGAGAAGCAGCAGCAGCGTGGGTTTGGATATTGAGAATTCGATTCAGGGCGCGATTGCTCATTGCAAAAGGTCACAACAGGAGTTCCATTCCAGAAAAACTGTAAATGAAATTGGTTTCTGTTCATTGTCGGCTTCAAGAGTAGTCCGCGAGGATCAAGAAAGGCCAGGACTTTGCAGAGGTTGAAGATGTGTGACAGAAAACAAGAGAAATGGGAGTGGGGGAACAAGAACAAGAACAAGTACAAAAGTTAAACACATTTTGATTGGGTTATGAGATGTTTTTCCCTTTTTCCTTTCATAATTTTGCGCAATGTGAATCGTTTGATTCAGCGCGAAGTTCAGAATTGTGCAGGGCTGTCCTGTACTGTTAGGCAAAACCATGTTAAAAGTTTCTGAGTGCAGAACAGAAGTTACTTTTCCTAAAACAAAACTATAAGTACAACTTTATGCTTTAAAGTTCATCTCAGGAGTTGTTTTCTGTTGAAATATGTTCTCTAGTTTAACAATTGCTAATGACAATTAAATTATTGTTCCATCTATTTGAAAAGCTACATTGGGCATTTGCCAAACAAAATCATCCTCCTTCAATAAAATTTTGATCAAGTTAAACAGACTTAATTTCCATGTTTCAATTAGCTAATAGAATGGGAAAAAAAAAAAAAAAAATTAAAAACAATTGGGCTATTTTATGCACCACACAGTTTTCCAAGAACCGGGGTGATTTTTTTATTTTTTTTTGGGAAGTAAAAGAAACAGAGTGATTGATAGAGAAGAAAAGCATTAAAATGAGAACCAAGAACAAAAAGCATATAATCTATTTGGAAAACTTGAAACCTGTTAGAGAAATTTTCCATCAATGTCCATCTTTTGCAAAGTTGGTACCAACAGGAGGTTTAATTGCGCTGTCTACCCTGAAACAGGTTCCATTTTGAGTGCAGCATCTATGAATCCATTCAACAGTCTCAGTTATTTGCAAAACTAAAAAGTCAGCTTATTTTTGCCTTTTTTCAACTTTGAGTAATTTTTATTTTATTTTATTTTATTTTATTTTTAACTTTTAGGTCTGTATGACAATTCTAAAAATTAAAAAGATTTGAGTAAATTTTAAGCTCGTATTTTTCGTTACAATGATTGAGGAAAACAGAAGATTTCAACCTATTGAGTAGAATTTAACTAGTTAACTGGGTTTAGACAGGATTTTGATTTTCTTCTGAAAACAAAGTCAATTGAAAAAGCGTTAGCAGCCAAAGGAAAAGCAGAGCGATTTAAGATGCAATGCGACAAAGTTCTTTGTAAAATTGTTTTATAGTCTATAGATGCCTCTTAACTAATGCAAGAAGGGTTATTGCCAAATGGGCATATGTAATTCAAGGGTTAGAAATCGTTCAATACCTTCCATTGAATGAAAAAATTGAAAACCATCTAAATTTAATCAAAACGATATCGTTTAGTGTACTGCAGGAGTACTTCAGAGGATGAAAATGAAGTTTTTGCAGGACTATTAATAGGTGAAGAACACCTATAGAATGTGAAAATAACAATTTGCTGAAGAGAATTTCCCCTTCTTGATTGCCAACACGGTTCTTCACTCCCAAATTTTGATCTGGAAGTCACTAAACTTGTCCGAGTTCATAAACATAAGGTCATTCTTCTTCGAGTCTAAACAACAGCCCAACAAAGCATATCAGAAAATTACAAAGTCAAAAGAGCATATCAATGCTATGAAAATTGTGAGGATCTTTTGAAGTGACTTTCTTTGCACACAAACAGATATTCCAAATCCACTTACAATTACAACTTCCCTAGTATCAAATTCAGTATGGAAAGCATATGTGAAACAATTTAAGAAAACCAGACTAATTACAAAATATATAAATCCAAAAAATCAATCTCTGAGACACAGACAGTGAGTCCCACATCGAAACAATATGAGAAAGAAGAGGTGTATTTATAAGATGAGAAGTACACGGTACGACCTTACTTGAACAAGATCTATTCTATAGGATCCGTCTTCATATTAAAAGCCAGAACAAAAACTATTTATTTTCCACCATTTTAGACTTTAAAACACATTTGGGACTGCACAATTTCATATTGAGAAGATTGACTGATATTATGAGCAACTAGATAAATGGAATTAGGCTTGTTATCCAAATAATATTGTGTCCAAATAATATTGTGTCCAAACCTGTAGCCCACACCCCGTTTGTTAGTTGACCAAATTAAGTTAATGGACTATCTAAGTTATGTCATCTTTACAAGAATGTTCACTGACTCATCAGCACTTATGGCAAGAATGGCCACAAAACACTAGAAAAAGGCTCACCCTATATCAATTTTTAAATAACTTTTATCTGGTGTCATTAAGTTTTTTTCTTCTAAATATGATTGCTTATAAAGATCCACTTTGATAGGCCATTCAAGCGTATAAGGGTGTTAAGATAGTTGACAGGAGTGAAAACATAGAAAAAGAGATAGAAAATGAAGAACATGGTGTTATGGATCACTCACTAGAATCTAATGGTAGTTCAGATCTTTCAAATCAAATCATTATTGTTATTTTTCATTCCTATATGAAATATGAGATGTACAAAAAAACTCACCATGGAGATATATGTTCCTCAAATCCAAGCTTGCACCTGATCAACACACATTATGATGAGGAATAGATCAGAACACAAAGTACCCAACTTCTAGATCTTTCAAAGCTGCATTGAGAAAACGAGCAGCAGCAAGGAAACGGCAATCCAAATAATGTCACTCCAATTTCTAGATCTTTCAAAGCTGCATTAAATTAAAATAAAAAAATCCAAATAATGTCGCTCCAAATTCCCAGCAAAAATAAAAAATAAAAAAAATGAACTAAGCATCATCAATGTGAACTAAGCATCTACCAGAACGATCTCAAGTAGGCTAAGAATTTCTTATTTCATTAAAACTGAACAAAATTAAATTAAAGTATATGAGTAGCATTTGTAACACATTAGTGTAGAAAACACAAAATCATACTTAAATCACCAATGGATCAAACTCCATTATGCACAGAAAATTAATAAATTCAATTTCAATAAATAGATATGCATAAATTGCTGCAAAATACAAAGAATATATATATGTATATATATAGAGAGAGAGAGAGAGGGGAGGGAAAAAACATGCCAGAGATTAATCGAAGGAAATACCTAAAAATGTTGATTTTGTGTTGCCCTAAAGAGATCATTTTGGACAATCCAATGGGCAATTTGAGTGACAATGAATGAAAAATAGAGATTTCAAAAGAACCATAAAGAGAGAATAGGAGATTGAGAAACAGAGAGAGAAAGCAAGATTGAGAGAGACAGAGAGAGATAGAGAACGAGATTGAGAGGTCAAGAGAGTTCATAGCCATTTCCTTGTTTAATCTCAAAAGTGAGCTGTAGATTACCTTTTTCTTTTTCTACTTTTCTGCTAAGGCGACTGTTCCTGTGTCCTGTGGACCTGTTTGGATATGAATCTGGACCACTCAAAGTCTTACACAGATCATATCCTCCCAAATGTTGGTTCAAGTCAAAGTTTTTTAACTCTTCGAAATTGACGAATTTCAAATTCTAGGGCTGAAAATCAAATTCATCGCCTGAGATTTGCACACAACTAACTAAGGTTTATGAGATATTTATCAAATCTCAAAACACTTCACAGATAATAAATTCATTTCCTAGAGTTGGAAACTAACCTGTTCAATATGTCCTTGAGGAAAATAGAACACGCGCTGGCCTTCACGAGGCATTGTCACAAGCGGACCAGCACAAGCGCGCCATAGCTCTGTGTAAAGCGCTGTTTTGGGATCCACTGCACCAACAAGAAATGAAAGAAAAAAAAAACTTGAAATCAAAGCCAGAGATCATTGTAAACTCGTCGGAAAAGCGCCGGAATTACAGAGAGAGTTAAATCGATGAATATGTGTCAAACATATAATTAAAGTTGGAATGTTTTATAATTCTAATGTCTCCGAGACCCAGCATGCTAACAATGATTTAACTACAATCATAAAGCTATAAAGTTTCAAAGTTTTGCTTTTATTTTCAATTGAAAAGTTGTAACATGAAGGTTTGAACTCATTCAGCTAAGCAAATGATACAGCCACAAAATGAAAACAACTCAAGGAACTACTTCTCTACCAGAATTCTGCAAATGATGAGACTAAGAATTTAGTTTAATTCCAAAATTTATAGCAAGTAAAACTAGGTGACTGGAATATCTTTAAATGAGACAGTACAAAAATGAAAGATAATATCAAAATCAGATGAATGAACATCATAGATAATAAGACAAAATATAAAAACCACAGATCATGCTTTTAACTGTTATGCTAAGCAATAATTTTAGTACATTTTATAGTATAACTTGAAAAACCATGCAACAATATGTAGCCACGCAGCATAGCAAATAGCGCAAGGCCACAACAGTAAGGAATAGATAGAGCAGCAGCTGGCAGCAAAGCATATAGCAGCAGCATACAACAAAAGGAGCAGAAAAATACCTCCAGACACAACCCACCGGGATAGGCTTCAAAAAAAGACCAGATGTAATAATCATCCACTCAATACAACGTCCAAAATTAGATATCCATTAAGGTAAGCTAAGTACAAAATTAGCATAAATTAAAAACACCAACTTTCCTTTTTGAGGACCACTCAAAGAACTGCTGCATTTTTGCAGCCTGGCCCTCTTAATGTCCTCCAAGCCCACATCAAACAGACCAGCCTTCAGCTTTACTTTATGTGATGCTTCAGCATATCCTGTGATCACCAACAATGAGAACAGTCAGCAAGAGATGGCCTCTCAACTGAAAGCATACTCTCTATATTTCCTTCTCTCGCTACACATCCGATCATCAAGAGCAATTACATGAATAAAAATGATGTGATGAGAAGAGGAAGATATAATGATACATAGGTAGTTTGACCATATCCAAGCTTATCTATAACAGATTTATTAATAACTTTTAGGGACTAGATTGTTAATAGTAGTAGTTTAAAATGCTTTAGAGCGAAACTTTGAATAACCTAAAGCATAGCACAACCATTAGAGTTGTCAATATCAAATTCATAAATATTCTAGATCTGCTCATATTGCTTCTCCAAAGGCTAACCTTACAATTCAAATCACGATCAATTAACATCACAAAGATTATGAAACATACAGGGAACTTTGAAAATGTTTAATCATAGAGAAAATCAAATTCAAATCTAACTTGTAATGAAAAGCACTAAACAGATTGAAATTGTAATCAACATATACAAATTATAATGAAATCAAAACATACACTCATGTTGTATACTGTATTGAAATCAGAAAGCTTAGCAGAATGAAAATTATAATTGATTCTTTGCAAATTATACCCGAATCAGAAGAAGAATAAAAGAGAGAATGGGAAAACCTTGGCCCAAATCCACTGCTCTAAGAAAATCTCTCAATAAAACACAATCTAAAGGAATTCAATTGCAATCCACAGTAACAACTATAGATATATCAATGAAATTAATCAAAGGTCCACAATTCTATATATATCACCATTGACCTATATATGTAGCAATTTTTGCATATGTTGAAAAAAGTATTGATGCTCAGAAATCACAATAAAAATTATCAAGATTTGAAATATAAATATGGCCTCAATGAACAACAATTGAAATATAAGAAGTAGATAGCAAGAGGAAACACAATGATTGAAGAGAAGAAGAGAGTGCGAAGAACAGAATTCCAAATGATACTGAAATGAAATAGTGAAAAACAGAAATCACGTACCTTTGAAGAAATTGCGAAGAACAGAATTCCAAATGATACTGAAGGCATCAATCATAAGAAGAAATCGCAAAGAACATAAATTGAAGAATAGAAATCGCGAAGGGCAGATGAATGTATCGATCTAAACCCTAGCAAATATATATACAGAGAGAGAGAGGGGCGATGGAGATCGAGAGAGAGAAAGAGAGGGATTGAGAGATCGAGAGATATTGACAAATCAAGAGAGGAAGAGTGATTCATACCTGTATTTGGGCGAGCGAGAGAAAGAGAGCGATGTCGAGAGTTTGAGCAAGGGGGCAAATATAAATAAACGAAAATAAGAGAAATAAAGCACATACATAAACGAGACTTGGAAAATAGTGGGTTCGTTTGGTTTGTATTTGTGGAAAAATTTTGAGAAATTTTTTCTACAAATAAGTTTTTAAAAGTAATCAAACTAAACAAATTTTCTCAAAAAAATTTCTCAAAACTTGTAAACCAAACAAGTTTTTCAAACAAATCTCTCTCTCACACACATCAAATCAATCACTTTTTTCAAAACTCTCTCTCAAAATAATTTTCCAAAACATCTTTTGAAAAAAATCAAACCAAACAACTTTTCGTACTTTTTATCTCTAAAACACATCTCTCAAACACAAACCAAACATACCCAGTATATTTTTTGCTACAGTTAAATAGACAGTCGCAAGAAAATAGACGCAAAAAGTCCATCATCTAGTAGTGATGCCTTAACATGTAATCAATAATCTGTTTAAGAACCACCAGTTTTCGGCTCATTATTTTTGTATTACAACCTACTCACTTAAGAGAATACAAAACCACTCAAGCTCATCTCAACCAACGGTTGAGTCCTACTTTAATTGTCGAAAATTCATTATTTTCCAACATAAAATAAGGTAGCACATACGTGTAACTAAAAACAAAAAATGTATTTATTTTATTTTATTTTTTGGATTGACCCCTTATGCATATCATATCGTATAGGATAAATTGTATTTAACTTCAAATAAAATATAATTTTTTTTATAATTTTGAGATAATTATATAAACCATCCTTTTAGTTAGATTAGAGCATCTCTAACTTATATGCTGATTTTGATATGTCAAATAAAATTAAAAATTTGAATGACAAATTGACATAGGCTTTATATGCTAAATTTTGATATGTCAAATAAAATTAAAAATTTGGGTGACAAATTGGCATAGGCTAATTTGATATCTCTTGAGGCTCTTTAATTTATATGTCAAATTTTATTATTGAAAATGAATTAAAATATTATTTTATTTCTAAAAAAAAGTGTTATAATTATTTTTATAACTCTCCACACTAATTAAAATAAATTTCTTTTTGAAAGATGTTTAATCCCATTTAAATATGATTTTATTTCTGAAAAATTGCTATAATTATAAAATATTTTTTTAAAGGTCCAGCTTGTCTCAGGTTAAGATCAAGACTGGACCCGTCCAGTTCGGCCCATGGGGCCCACTTTTTGGGCTCGTTTTGATAATCCGAACCGTTCAATGTGTAGAACTCGTCGAGTACTACATGCTCATAAAAAAATCACATTGATCGGATATCAATAGCTATGTGATCAAATCAGTTTTGTATAAAAAAAAATAGACGGTGAAATAATTAACGGTTGATAAAAAACTGTTTTGTCACATAGCTATCGATATCCGATCAATGTGATTTTTTACAAGCATATAGTACTCGACGAGTTCTACACATTGAACGGTTCGGATTATCAAAACGGAACCCGTGGTGCGCTCCCACGAACCCAACAGCACGGTCCAGTCCGATCTTGGACTGGACCAAAGCCGCTGCCTTTTTTAAACATGAATGATGATTAATAAAAATTACACAACTCCAAATTTATAGATGAAAAAATGAAAAAAAAAAATTGAAACTTTCCTTCTTTTAAACCATGGTGTAATTTTTTGTTCAACAATGATTCATCCCCCCTTTTCCCCCACTCCCTTTGACCCCCTCTCTCTCTCATTGGTTACATTTTTTTTTTCTTTTTCTTTTTTTTCCTGCTCCTCCAATCACCACTCGCCACGTGGCAAAAGGGGTTGTAGGGGTCCCAAACATTATTCTTTTTTGTTCCCTCTTCTTTTTTTTTTTTTTTTTCTGCTAAACTTTTGTTGCGGTTGTGTTGTGTGTGAAGTTGTTGCTGATCATCAATTTTTTTGAAATTGTGTTGCTGCTACCGTTTTAATTTTTTAAAAGAAAAATTAAAAGGAGTGACTTCTCACCCTTTGTCAAATTCATGTCATGTTTTGTCATATGGGGTAGAGCAAAAATTTAGAATCAAATTTGATTATTGGTGTACCATGTGCAGGAGCGGAGGAACGTTGGAACCAACGGGTCTCCTGTCCTCCTCAATTTTTAAAAATTATATTTTTATCCTTATTTAAAAAATAATTAATTTTTAAAATTTAAAATGTCATAATTTTTTATATTTCATCTTCTATTTTTGTTTTTTTTGTTTTGTTTTTTTTTTTTTGGACAAAATCTTTGCAAAACCAACATGGTTAATCTATTAGTCAAAATTCTTGCATTTTCATTATGAGATTAGAGGTTCAAATATCTCAATTTGGTTATTGATTGTATTTTTCATGTTATTTATTTATGATTTCTCTCTTATTTTTGAAAATATTTATTTATATTAGTTATATGGTGTATTGATTTTCATTATGATTATAATTCATTAGTTTCATTATAACATGATTCATTAATTAAAAATAAAATTCAAATTCTTGTAATTTGTCACTCTAAACATTTAATTTTGCTAAAAAAATTTCTTTTAAATTCTATATTATTTCTCTCTTTTCTCTTATGTCTTTCTCTTCCACTCTCTTTTTTCTTTGGGTGTATTTTGGTGTAATTTTTTCATTCTCATTTTTAATAATAGTATGTGATCGCATTTTAAATTATAATCATCATCATGTTCACAAAACTAAAATTGCAAATCATATTAATTGAGAGGGTAATTTATGTATATAAATTGGGCCGAGCTGGGTGTTGGGCCGAGATTGGTTCAAATACGAAGGACAGTGGATACACCAGTCAAAAGGAGTACTACGGTTAGTTCGGTTGTCAGATAAGCTTGGGAGCAGCTCAGTTGCGGCATATTACGGACTAGCCCGGTCATCTCCTCTAACCAGAGTGAGAGAACCGTCTTCAGGGAAGTTTGAGTAATTTCGGCTTGACACTTCTATGGATAGCTCGGTCTTAGCATTCGCAGCCGGGATAGAAGCAAGGAAGGGAATAGCCGAACTAGTAGTCAGATCGGCCATACCTGCCTGTATAGTATGGTAGTGTTATTCCGGTCGTATGGTAGTTCGGCCATGATAAAAACCATCTCACTTGGTTTAAGCAGTGAGGGGGGTGTTAAAGGATAAGTATTATCTTACAGGAGTATGAATCCTAAGAGGACTCTACATGGAGGAGTAGAAGTCCTACTAGGATTATGCCACGCGAAACCTATAAAAACTCACAAACATCACCTTGGGTGAGGTAACACACAACTTTGCTTTTTGAATACACAGAGCTTTTGTCTATTTGTCAAGCTTACTGACTTAGGCATCGGAGAGGTTTCCGGTACACACCCGCCGGCTAGCTCACGTTTGTGTTTTCAGGTGATAAGGCGACGTCGTACGGAGGAGCGCAGACTTGATCAACAGAATTATACGAGAAGGTGTATTTCTTTCCCGTACATTAATAATAAATAAACAATCAAAAATCAAAAACATAAAGCAAAAAAACTAACTTGAGCATAACTTTAAAATTTTAAATATGAAACTTTATTCATTTTTAGTTGTTTTACTCTCAGTTAAGAATCAAAATTATTTGCATTGTGATAGATCATTATGATCTTAACTCAATATTACCCCTCCTAAGATGAAATCCTAGTTCCGCCACTAACCATATAGCATATGGTATGTCAAATAAAATTGAAGGCTTGGGTGACGATTTTTTTTTTTTAATCAAAAAGAAATTTTTATTACTGAAGCCAAAAGACACTTACAGAGAGGAATCTATCCAACAAATAAACTTACACCAAGCAAAGAAAAATCAAATCAAAAGCACACAGGAGTAAAATCTATGAAAAATCCAAACGCACAACTCCTGCTTGTGCTCGTACTGTAAAACAGAAGTTAAATGGATAAATTACAAATACAACCCTTGAGATTTTATTAAAATACAAATTGTCCCCTATGCTCTGGAAATTACATTCCACCCCCTGAAGTTTTTAATTTCATAACAAATTGCCTCTTCTATTAATAAATCATCAAGTTATTTAACAATTTTTAATGATGTTAGAAATATGTTTCAATTAATAATTTAGGTAATTTTATTATTGTATAAGGGTGGAATTATGAATTTCATTTTTTTAGTTAATTCTATTAGATAAAAAATTCTAACAATGGGGTATTTATAATTTTTCAAACCACAGAAAGTAATCTGTACTTTAAGCAAATCTCAAGGGGTGTATTTGTAATTTACCCACAATCGGTCATAGAACATGTCTGATATAGATCATAGGTTACAATCATAGAGTGGGTAAGCCACAACAAAGCATCAATGGACTCCATAGAACACGTCTAAACCAAAAACAAAAAAAACAAAAAAAAAGTTGAAAAACACAATCTCATACCCGAAGAAACATCCAGATCTGTGGAGGCCACCAGATCCAAAGTAGTTTTGGCGGCGAGATAGTGGTGATGACTACCTAGCAACGGAGAAGGAGGAACATGGTAGATTCGGCACTGGTGAGATGGAGGAGGAGAAATCCAGCAAACTTTTATCATGAGGGAAGAGAACTCCTCATAAAGAGAGAGGTTGAGAAGAGAGATCTCCAAAGATTTATTAAGAAGGAAATAAGAGGGGGGAGAGAGGAGAGGGGCGGCCGGAGAGTAGAGCCCCCTCCCCCTCCCCAAGCAGCGCTGCTTGCAGAAACTCTAAGGGAAGGGGTAGAGAAAAAAGCTCTCATTTTAGAGAGAGTCGTGTTGGAAATTACAGAATGCTTGGGTGACAAATTGACATATGCCAATTTGACATCTCTAGAAACTTTCCAACTTATATGCCAGATTTTATTATTTTATTATTGAAAAATAAATTAAATTATTATAATTATTTTTGACATGAGTTAAAGAAGCATGTCAAACATGCTCTTGACTGTTGCTAACATACGGGGTGGAGCAAAAATTTGGGAACAAATTTTATTGTTGATGTGCCAGATAGGATTTGGCCTATAGGTTAGACGCCAGAATTAACGCTCATGATATAAAGATACGAGAATAAATAAGCGAAAA